TCCAGGCTTTGCTATCACTGACAATTTCAATGTCCCTCAAACCTCTGGCATTTAAGTTATCAATTAATAATGCTGCTCAGTGTCTTTTTTTGCTTTGGTTTGCTATGGAGTTATCAGTGTCTCTTCCACTGACAGCATGTAGTAGTTACAGTGCAAATACATAGGCTGAAATACCATCAGTGACATTCTGCATTTACACATGTGGGCAATGAATGAAATGCATGAATCTCATAGAGGTTTGTACTGAAATTTCTCTGAAGAACAGTGCTCTTGGGAAAACCACCCAGGACCACCTGGAGGCACATGTTCCAGGCAGCTGGTGGAGTGTTTGAGGGAAGGCTGTAACTCCAGCTTGCTACAGACAGTTGAGGGACTGCCTCAGGTAAATAATTAGGAGGTGGATACACAAAAAAATGCAATCTCTTCATGTACCACACATGTACTGTGAGCTCTGCTGAACAGAGTTCCTTCACAGAGTAACAGATTTGACACAATCACTTTGAGCTGAGGTTTGACAGAGGATGCTTAGTATAGACTGAAAGTGTTTTAACTGTCAGGAATGGCATCTTCCCTGGAGCATCTTTCTCTAGGGGAAAACAGCCTGATCCTCACCAGCTGTAAATGGCAGTGCTACTCCCACAGAGGAAAGTGCTGTCGATCCAAAGCAGGGCTGACTGGAAGGACCCCAGGGAGCAGTAAAGGAAACCTGAGCATTAAAGTATTCCATATCAGATCCAGTTACATCTGTCTGTAAAATTAGTAACAACACAGACACCTGGTAGTTATGATTCATGGCTAATAAATATGTTAAAAGGTAGAGAAGATTGTGCTGAGCCTTGCACAGAACTGTCTGTGCTATTGGATTTGATAGAGTTTAGCTCCTGGCTTTGGTCAGGGGCTGAATGTGCTCTGTCCAAACTTAGATGGGAGACCTCCAAGAATGTGCCAGAGCTGAAGGAAATGGGATGAGGTCCCTGCTTTCTCTTCCTTCTGCATTACACTGAGCTGTAATTGGAGGCACCATGTGGTGGTACTGTAGAGTCTTGAAATGATTACTGCCTGTTCATGGCTTTGACAGTTGTTGAGATTTTTTTGGGTGTTGAGAGAGGAGCAAGTTTGTAGAATGCAAGTAAGACATAGGGAACTGCTGTGGTGGGTGTGTATGGACAGAGCAGAAGGAAACTGTGAGAGCAGCAGGGCAAGTGTTTGGCAGCATTTCCTACAGTAATCAATTACTGACACAGAATTTTATCAGAAAAAGAGGCTTGGGGTAAAGTTTCAGGCTAATATTCTGTGTAACCTGTACCATCCAGGAATGTCTGATTCACACTGTGAATAAAACAGGCTTCTAGGTAGCAGATGTCCAGAGATGGTGTCACTGCCTCTCCTTCACCATAGAGCAGAGGCACAGCGCTCTGAGGAATCAGCTATTCCATACCAGGAGGCAGACAAGGGGTGACAGATCTACTGTTTGGGGGCTGCTTTTTGGGGGGGTTATGTAGCTTCAGCAGCGCCCAAACTGTCTCTTTTAAAGAATAATATGTTATTAGAGATATATGAATGTGTAATATCTGCACACCTGGCCCGGGTCTGGAGAGCCCATGAAATGTGTTAAACTTGTTATTACTTGATTATTCCATTGCACAGGTGTATGTTCCTGCTCCCAAATGCTTATGCAACATCTCTGCTGATGTATTCAGACTCACAGTACTGAAGGCTAGAGAAAGCCCCTTGATACATGACAACACACTGTGTGCCTTTGCCCCTGCATTAAATGCACTCATTTGGTTTTAGTTAGCACAGGTTTTCTGGTCTTGCTTTGAAAATAAATTTTAATAAAAGACTATCCACTTTGTGCCTTGAAAATCAGCCTTCAGCTACTCTATTAAAACCCCCTAAATTCTCACTTGAGTTTGTTTGACTTCAGCTTGCAGTTACCCATTTTTCTCTAAAAGATTAAAAACATTTTTAGTATCCAGCAGATAATTCCAGACAAATCTCGTAGCTACGTAAATACTTACACATTACACTCATGTCACGTCCCAGTCTTCTTTCCAATAAGCAAGGCAGATTGAGTGCTTTAAGTCTTTCACCATTAAGCACTTTCTTCAGCCCTAAAATCCTCTCTGTGGCTCTTTTCTGCACTGTCTCCAGTTTTCCAACAATTTTTAAAAGTGTGAGCACTAGAAACTGCATAATCTTATATTGTCTGTATTGAAAGCCATTGTGTTTGAATGGGCTCAGCTCATGAAGCAACTGAGATCACTTGGAGTGTCATTCTCATCGCTGTCTGTCACTCCACCAATGTTCCTGTCACCCTCAGATTTATCAGCTGTGAATTTACAGTGTTTACATCCAAATCATTGAAGAAAACATTGACTAGCATCTGACCTGATGCTGATCCTGGTAAAACTCTCCCGTTTGATAACAACTCCTGATTCATAGCTACTTTTTAACAGGCTGTTTGCCAATTCCTAATCCAATTAGTGCATGCTCTGCTGCTATTTCTAATGCTTTTTGATCGGAATATCACACAGTGTTAATTCTAATCTCCATAAAAAAATGAATATCACATCTCTTCATTGACCTTTATCATTCAGTCTTTACCTTCATCATATTATTTGATGCGCCTCATCAAAGAAAGAAATTGCATTTGTCTGCTAAGGCTTATTTCATCTAAAACTGTATTTACCATCATTAATTCTATTTCCATTCTTCATGGCGCCTTTTCCAATACATGGTAACAGCTCAGGATGTGTTTGAGGCCTGGCTTTGAGGTCAGTACATTGTGTTATCAAACCAACCACAACAACTCAGTTCTTAAACCCAACTATGAAACCTGATACATTTCACTGCAGTGGCTTGATGCTTATTTACATTTATATATTATCATGTGATTAAAAAGGACTATTTGCCACACTGCCTTAAGTGTAGCCCATGGAAAAACTCCTAGTCCTGGCCACTGTTTTCCAAGTGTTTCCCAGTGACCACTAGTACAGAAACCAGTACAATCTTAAGCTTCCAGGGAGAGCTACGTGCTGCCTGAAGCCTGCCTTAGAACACCACCATGAAAGGGATGATGATGAAATATCAGCTATCATGTAACTATCTATAAATGTTAGATTTCTACAAAGTGATTCCACTGAATTGTAATTAAGGGTTTGAAAGTCGAATGATTTTAAGTGCTAGTTTTAATTACCGCTTGGTGAACTTTAGTGTGTTAGAATTGTCACAACTTTCCTTTAGAATTAGTGTCAAGCCAGGCAATACAGTGGGAAATTATTAACTCATACTTTGGTTCAGCAATTATCTGCATTACAAGGTTTATGCAATTAGCTGTTTAAGATGTCATTATATTTTGCCATCTGGTACACAGGAGTTTATGCATATGAACAGGCACATGTTGAAGTGATTTTCACTATATGACACTTGATCTCAACCCAAATCATCACTATAATGAGTGGAAGACACAGTGTACAGTACATTAGTGGCAGGTGCATACTATCAACTTCATTTTAATAGAAGACTTTCATGTTTCCATTTTTAAAGTATTCTGCACAAGTGCTGAAGAATTAATTGCTCGTTTGCAATCTAGCAAAAACCGAGGACACGTTATTGCTAAATGCTAAGGAACATCAGCTTTCAGGAAAGCGGCCACTTATTTAAGTTCTTTCCATCTGTAACTCCAGGCCAATTTCTGCCGCAGACAATATGAAAGTCTCCGTTAAGTTGAGCTTAAAATGTTCTCTGGGGAACATGCTGAATTACCCTTGATAGGCTCACAGCACTGAAAGCCTCTTGAGGAGCCTGTGGTGTGGTCCATGCATGACAACCTCCAGTGTCACCAGTCTCTGTCAGTGCACAATGTATTGTCACCTGCACCCTTGGCCTTACCTCTGCCTGACGTCACTCGTGCCTGTTGGCTCACGCTTGACACACAGATTCTAAATCTGGGGGGAAAAGGTGTTGCTGTTGGCAGTCTCCCACCAGGAAATCCTCGCTTCCAGGCAGTACAAAATGTAAATATCGATAACGCCTGCACTGCATACTCAGATAATACCTGGTATTTCTGACACATACGGCGTCTGGTGTTCTAAAAATATTTACAGCCTTTAATTAATTAAATTGCACGCAGCTATTAACCTCATTTGACACAAGGAAATCGGTTTCTGGAATGGTAAGAGACCTCCTCAGTCATGGGAAGGCTGTGCAGAGCCTGAGAGTGAGCTGCCAACAGGGACTGTGCTCACTGAACTGCAGTGCAGGTGGCTAAAACCGGGCTTCACCTGCCAAAGCAGGGGCTGTGGTTTGCGGCAGGGGATGGGTTTGTCGCGCGAGAATGGACAGGATAGCTCCTGCCACCTCCTTCTCCAAGCAGGACTCAGAGTAGAACCCATGAGACAAAGCAGTCACGTGGGTGTGCTGGAAAATCACATTTCTTGGGAATAGTCATTAATTTAGGTTCTAGTATTACACTCGGGATACTCACCGTGTCTTGGGGCAGTGCTGGTTGCCTCAGAGCGGGAGGAGGCACCGTTCCCAGACCTGCCTCCAGCCACGGCCCTGGCTCCAAGCAAAGGATAGTGCTGTGCCTCCACGTGCAGTCGCTGCAACTTCATTATTGAATTACATTAACAGGCCGCCCTCTAGTGTCATATTTTATTACTTGGGTAAAAAAAAAAAATGGGCCGGTCGGGTAAAAAAATGTGTATTTTGTCTCACTGAACACCAGCAGGAGAGGCAGCCACAGAAGCAGCCAAGAAATATTTCTGTGGAGCACATTGGAAAGTTCTCTGTCAGGTTAAAATACCTAAACTTTGGAATTTTCTCCTGAGGTTCTGGAAATCAGTCGCAGAAAGCCCGAGGAAAATGTCACAAATCCTGTACAGAGTTTTCCCTTTAAATCAATGTTAACGTTTCTGTGGGTGGTTACAGCAACACTGTGATAGATACGTGCATCTATACCTTTAACATTAAGTGTTTCATCCTCTTGTGCATACCTCAGTGTGACTCAGGGAGATAACGGGGAATGTCCTTCAAGGAAACGCTCTCAGTGCACAGGGATTGCTTTGCTGAGGCTGAAGACAGAAAGGTAATGGACATAAGGTTGCAGGCAATTATTCAGTAGTTTACAGCATTTTAGAGCTAAAACCTTAAAATACGAATGCTCAACAGACAATAAATAGTTTTATGTTCTGAAACCCTTAGAGGCATTAGCATTAAGTGACCAGACCTGCCCTTACTGGGCTGGTTAGGAGTGGAAAAGGGCACAAAGCACTTTCAGGACCATTGGCAGGACAGGTCATGCCAACTGCTGGTGTGAATTAGCGGGTGAAGGCAGCTCACATCCATCAGCCAGAGACCTGTCCTTGTGTATTAATGTTCCCCCAGACTGAAGCCACCTGCCCATCTTCCATTTTTTCTGAGCACACCTGTCTCCCATGGGAGTCTGGGAGATCGGTTGCATGACCAAGCACCCTTTGGATAAATCACGGGAAGAATCTCAGCACCAAGTGCAGCGCACCGGGATCCGCCCCTGGCCCGCTGGTGACAGGGATCTGCCCAGGGATGGGTTGGCTTGCGGAAAAGGTAGGAAATAGTTTCCCCCAGGGGAATGTAACAACTGCATCCTCTTTCCTCCAAAACCTCTCTGGAATTACGGAGGAAGGAGCAGGGGATGCTCGACCTTAAGGCCCACACGCAGGCGGGAGGACAGAGACTCCGCTCACATCAGCCACACGCACCGCGCCTGACGGAAACACAGGCAAAGCAGGGCGAGGGTGCTCGGAGGCATTAACCTGGGTGTATTTTTCCCCGGTTTTGCCGTATTTTGCTGGTTTCGGCCTCAAGGGCTGGTTTATTTTGCCGTACTTCTGCTGGTTTCGGCCTCAAGGGCTGCCCCGGCCCCGCGGCCCCCTCAGGCTCCC